AGAGAGAAGAATAAATGAGGGAAGTTACACTGTATTTGGTTTTATACTGTATGCATCTAGTAAGTTAAAAAGGTTGATTTTTGAAAGTTAAAAAAAAAAATCTCAAAATAGAAAAAGGGAGAAAAAAGGAGAGGCTACAAGAAGACATAGTGAATGAGGGAGATGGCAGGGAACAGCAAAGACAAATTTTGTTTACTTCCCATTTTACCTCGGAAAATAGCAGAACTTTCGAGAAACTTGTAATATTAACCCAGTTCTTCTGTATGAAAGCCCCCGAGGAATTGCTGTTTCCTGGGTGGGCAGGGTTCAAAGAGTCAGAACGTGTGCTCTTCCCTGACTTGGTGAGACTTGCCCTTATATTGCCTACCCTGCCCCTTGAAAGCCCCCCAAACCTCTAAGCACACACGAGTGAGTCTCTCCCACTGGAAAAGATTCAGGAATCTGTAAAATTGCAATACAGCAAGAAAGCTTCTGCCTCCTACGGCAGGATCTTTGTCCAAGAGAATTAGTCATGGCTTGTTTTCTGCTCCAACCGTATTCATCATTCCTCGTGTGACAGTACATAGGCTCCGTAAGGACAGGGCCTCATCTGTCACCTTCGCTGCTGCATTCTCTGCGGTGCTCACAACAGTACCCGACCCATGGCAGACGCTCAATAAATACTTGTTGGTGCTGTTGTTGCTACGAACAAGAAAGCAGACAAAAGTTTTGGCCTCAGATTACCGGCAATTAAAATTGATGTTGCCACATTTTTAAAATTCATAAGGGCGTTAACCCTTGGGCTTCCCGAATGCCAAAGGCTGACAGATTGCCCTTAGACTTAGGCATTATTTAGGTGTTCTGCTGACATGTTTCATTTCCCATCCATTTCTTTACAAAAATAATAATGTTACAAAATATTAATGTTACCTTGACTGTGAGTTATGGATGTTCAGTGGATCGACTATAATTATCTTGGACTCATTCATTAGGTTTTATTTTGTTTCCTTTTTCTATGACATTTTAAACATAGTTTTGAAAGATTTCTTTCTCTGGGCCAGATAGATTCCTGGAGTATTTTGTTCTATTCTTTTTAACTCTATTTTGGGGTTTGTTGTACTCTCTCTCCTAGGTGTGAGCTTAACTGTTTCTTTCCTTATTTTCTTTTTTAAAAGAGTGAGTGCTTACACCTCAGCTATCCTTAGGCTATATTTTAGGTTGGGGCACAAGCATCTCTCCATTTCCCTACTGTCAAAAAGAGTAATGGTGAAAACAGCCTTGGTAGGAAAAGGTGAGCGGAGGCCATGATAGATGAGGTGGTAGGTTTTCCAGGACGAGTCAGCTTGAAGTAAATGATGACAAAGCAGGATTAACTGGAGAATCTAGAGACTTTTTCAGTTTTTAATATCTGGAGATGTAATCTTAGAGTTTATGTGCTTGGACTGTTTGGTTTTTATCCTCCTGGTTGATGTTACATAGGAATGGTAATAGCAAGTTTCAGCTGTTATACAGAGCCCAGATTTATGTATTAATTTGAGAAGTTATAAATCAAGAGATTTCCTTGGGGCTTTGATTAGGTGGAATAAAATAAAATGAAGTTTGATAATCTGGACTCTAATTTAATTCCTTTTTAATTTAATGTAAATTTTAAATGGATTTATTGGGATGACACTGGTTAACTAAACTATACAGGTTTCAGGTGCACAATTGTACAACACATCATCTGTACACTGTATTGTGTGTGCACCACCCCAAGTCAAGTCTCTGTCCATCACCATTT